CCTCCTCCTCCTCCTCCTCCTCCTCCTCCTCCTCCTCCTCCTCTTCCTCCCCCTCTCTCTGCCTCTTTCTCCACCTCGTCCACGCGCCCCTTCCTCCCTCTCCCGTGCCTGTGGCAAGATGCGGCGGCGGAGGTCTGGGTCTGGGCTGGTCGCACGGGACAGGCCAGCAGGCTGCTTGCTCCGAGGGCGCATCGATCGCTCGCTCGGGCCCGCGCGCAGCCAACCAATGCGCCCCACGTATGCAGCAGTGACAAAGCGAGCCCTGCGTGCGTCACGCAGCGACAGCACGCGAGGCGGACGGCGGACCGCCCAGACGAGGCAACCAAACAGTCCATGCACTGCCACCACAATCGCAAGAGACTCCGTCCGATCGTCGCCGCCCTCTCGACGCATCGGCGTGCTCACACGTCCCCAGGGGCCTCCTTCCTCTTCTTGGTCTCGGTCGCGATGTAGATCTGGAAGTGTGTTTCATTCCAACCCCATCGGCAGCTCCCACGAGCAGCCCCGCCCCTGCACTCCCTGCTCTAAGAAAAAGCACATGCACGCACACACTCCATGCCATCCATCTCTTCCTCCCCGCCCTTTCCCTCAGTCTCCGCGAGCGAAAACCCCAACATCCCTGTGCGCAGTCCTCGGAGATCTTCGCAGACCTGAGCTTCTGGAACGACACGAGCGCCATGTACTCGTCGTACTGCGCCAGCCCCAAGTCACGACTGAACTCGTCGTGCATCTCGCTGAGGATGCCGAGGATGCGCCCGCTCCTGCCGGGGGCGCGCACCAAGTGACAGCAACGCGGCGGCGACGCAAGAACACCACGAATCGATATCCGCGTTTCCCTTGCAGCCCGCGTTCGCACAGCCTCCTCCTCCTCCTCCTCCTCCGCCTCCTCCTCCTCCTCCTCCTCCTCCTCCTCCTCACTCCTCCTCCTCCTCCTCCTCCTCCTCCTCCTCCTCCTCCTCCTCCTCCTCCTCCTCCTCCTCCTCCTCCTCCTCCTCCTCCTCCTCCTCCTCCTCCTCCTCCTCCTCCTCCTCCTCCTCCTCCTCCTCCTCCTCCTCCTCCTCCTCCTCCTCCTCCTCCCCCTCCCCCTCCTCCTCCTCGAGTGAGGCGACCGACTCCACGGGCGGAGCAGACCAGACTCCACATCGATTGCTGGAGCCGTCCGGCACATCACGCCCTCGGAGGAGCCGTCGGGCGCGGGAGGCAGGAGGCGGCCAAACACAGTGGCGACCACAGCCAGTCCACACCTTCCGCGGATGCCCGATTGTGGACAGGCGCGCTCCACTGCTCGCAAATGGCCCGGATCCGCCGCAGGGGGTTTGCGGCATCGTACACAAAGACAGACGTATGGTGTTCTGACGTTTGCGAGTAGGCACTTTGCGAGTAGTGGAACGCGCTCTGCGAGATTGGTGTGTGTGTGGGTGTTCAGATATGCCGTGGAAACATCGGTGCAAAACTACGAGGGCCGCCTAGGAGACCAACCAGCATCCACGCGACCTCCGCAATCGTCTGGCTCCATCCTGCCATCGCGAATGGGATCCCCGTTGGCACCCCTGGGGGGGGGAACGCTCTGACGGCACGCCTGAGAAAGAGAGAAGCAGAAAACGGCAGAAAGGGGAAGGCCGAGGATGAGAAAGAGAGAGAGAGAGAAACAAAGAGAGAGAGAGAGAGAAACAACACAAAAAATGAGAAAGAGAGAGAGGGAGAGATAGACCAAACAAAGTGAGAGAGAGAGAGAGAAACAACAAACATCGGGACTGACGCAAGGCCTCGTGCACGGCGTCACCCGTGTGCCTGCCTGCCGACCTACCTGCCACACAAAAACCTGCCAGACCTGCCCGCCACCCCGCCCGCGGGGAGCCCGCGCATGGTCGGGCGACACCATCCTCTTCCGCGGCGCCGAAAGAAGAGCAACCGCTCAGGCAACGATGCAAATGTGGTCGCGGCCGCACCATCTGCCCGGCCTCGGCATTGCTCGCCCCCCCCCCCCCAACGTGAGCCGATCCGATCGCAATACGCGTGGAAGCGCAATGTCGGATCTCGGGATCCAAGCCTTCGGATCAGGCGAGCCCTCGGCCCTTGGCGACACCTGCGGCCGAATTGACGGAGCAGCCTGGCAGGGGCTCCCCTTTCGGGAGAGGCGAAGGGGAGGGGGGGAGAGGCGAAGGGGGGGGGGGGGGGGCAGATCCCACCACGGCGGGGCTGGGCTTGGCTGGGGAAATAGAGGAACAACAAAAACTAATAAATGTAAACTTTCAGAGCTCCGCGCGGACTTCTGGGATCGGCGCCGACCCCCCTCCCTGGCTCGCGGAGCGCGACAGGGGCGGCGCTGGAGGCGGCGGAGGCGCCGCCAGGGGGCCCCCGGCGCCGACCCGAGAAATCTGCGCGGAGCGTCACCAGTGAACGTTTGTGCCCTCTCACTGCTTCCTCGCAGGCGCCGATCCGAGACATCCGCGCGCAGCGTCACAGAAGTGCCTCGAGGAGAGGCAAAACCCCTCTCTCGCCGGAGAGGGGCCCCGGGGGGCGGCCCCGAGAGGCGCCCCGCGCGGTTGCAGCGGGCGAGGTCGGAGGGGGGGCGCCCCGAGGCGCAGGGGCGCACCCGGGTCGGCTGCGCGCAAGAGAGCAGCCAGCCCGTAGCATAAAAGGACGCGCGGTGAGGATGCAGAAGGGGCCCTGGAGAGCCACGGGAACGTCGTTGGAGCGAGGCTGGCCAGCGAGGAGGCCGATGGGGGCGAGGATGCAGGGGTGCCCTCTGGAAGGTTGCCCGTCCTTGCCCTGCGGGTCGGCTGTAAGAGGGACCTGTGGTGCGCGGCTTTTTTGGGGGGGCGCGGGAGGACCAAACCCAAACGCGCAAGACGCTGCTGTCGCATCACGGTCGACGATCGGGGGCCCCCTTATGGGCCTGCACCAGGGCGCAAGGTCGCTCTTACGTCTAGTCGGCCACAGAGCGGCCAGGCCCGACCCCCTGGCCCAGCTCATCACGATCAGGTGCTCTCCGTGCCAGCCCAGGTTGGCAGCGCGCAGAGGGGGCGGGGGGAGGCTTCTCCGAGGGACACTGCTTCTTGCAAGGCGCTGTGCCTACATCAATTGATGAGGCCCGCGCCTTCCAAGAAGCAGGGGTGCTTCTAAGAAGCCTTCCCCCTCCCCTTACCCCCCTCTGCGCGTGGCTGAACAGGGCCTGATCTCGCCAGCTTGGACCAGCCAGGCGAGGACACCGTCGCCTTACAGCTCCCGCCGAGCTCCAGCTGCGTGGGAGCCACCCCCCGCCAGTGTCAGGCCTTACCTGCGTTCGTTTCCCGAGCCGGCCCGGTCTGCCGAGGCAGAGGCCTCCAAGATGGGATCGGAGCAGATGGGGTCGGAGGATCGCGCCGAATCGCCGACGCATTGCCAGTGCATCGGCTGGTGATGCATCGGAGACGTCGGCGCGGCGAAGATCGGGCTCCGCATCGCGCTGCATCGCCGATGCATCGACGATGCGGCGCGATCCTCGGACCACATCTGGGAGGCCGCGAAACGACGCCTGCTGGCTGCCTCGCGGGCAGCCGCCAGCTGGCCGGAGGGGCCCTCCTCGCGTTGTAGGACTTGGCACCAGATGCCGCTCCGATGAGCTCGTTCGGCTTGGCCTGGTGAGCCGCATGGGGGGCGGGGGTGGGGGGGCGAGGTGCCTCAGGGACGAGCCTCCGGTGAGGGCCACGCTCGACGAGTGGAGGATCGGGGAGACGTAAGGCTCGGACTCGGGGGACTCGGGTTGTCCGGACGGGGCCATCATGAAAAAGACTAAACCCAATATGACTTTTGCTGCGACCTCTCCTGCTGCAAACATCCCACGAAAACCGAACCGTCAAAATCCAGGACGCGCTCGTCAAAAAGCGTCGGCAAACCCGAGTCCCGGCTTACTCGAGTCTTACATCTCCCCGAGAGGAAGGTTCCTGTGCTTTTGGGGTGGGGGGCCCTGCGAGCACCTAGCCTGCAACATACCACAGGATCTCGTGTTACCCCCTTGACATCGCATTTTTCCTCACTCCGTTGCGCTGCTGTTCGACTAGGCCTGCCGCCTGTCCATTGGTTGTCATTGGTTCAGACGATACGATCCCAGCCGATCCAAGTTTGCCGAACTTCGGCGACTCCGAAGGGTGTGGTCTGCAAAGGGTGTGGCTTGTAACCGGCACCCTGAGAGGCACCCTGGGGGGCGGGCGAGGACCTCGGCAGAGCTCTCCGCCGCGCCCCGAGGAGGCCCGACGAGGACAGCATCGTGCCTCCCGGGCCCCGACGGTGCCCATCGCACACCACACCCCGGCGGAACCGTACCCCCCTCCTGGCCATCGCTCGGACGTCCATTCCCTATGTTTTTTTCGGTTTTGTGCGTGGCTTCTTCGCCAAATGATCAAGGATGCTCCCCGATGGTCCTCGCCGAAGGAAAAATGCACACGTCCGAGCGATGCCAAGCCTCTCTCTGGTCGCCGGGAGCTGACGCCGAAGAGGGTGCCACAGGGAGGGGGCATAGCCTTGGCATCATCGGGACGTGTGCGTCTGGCTCGGCGAGACCAGCGCCGGAACCTCGGGACCACCCTGCAGCAGCCTGTGGGCCGCCTTGAGAGAAGCAGCGCCTCTCGAGGCCGCAGGCCACAGGTGGTGCGAGGCCGTCGGGCGCTGGTCAGAGCGAGCGGTGGGATGCACCGGAGACGAGTGGAGGCACGCGAGCGGAAGGGAAGAGAGAGAGGGCGAGAAGGAGAGGAGGGGGCCCGCTCGGACGAGGAAGGCTGGCGCGGGGATCGCCGAGGGAGAGCATGCAGGCTGCGCCCGAGCGGCGAGGGGAGCAGCGCACGCGAGCGGCCGAGCGATGCCGAGGACCGAGAGGGCACCGGCTGCGCGAGGACGCCGGGCCGGGCCAGAGGCCAGCCCCGGGGCGGTGCCTCGGAGCAGGCGGCGTCCGCCGAGGGGCGAGGGGTGCCTCAGGCTGGCCCCGCAGCAAGAGCCTGCACGAGAGCTCCCTTCGGGGCGAGGTGCGCCAACCTCTGGGGAGGTGAGGAGACGCAGGGGAGGAGGGAGGAGGACGACGAGGGCGAGGACAAGGAGGGAGGAGGGAGGCGAGCAAGTGAAGGAGTGAGAAGGGGAGCATACACTAAGCACAATCGGAAGAAACCCCAGACGGATCCGGCGTGCTGGAATTCTCCGTGGGCGCGAGAAGTCCATGGAACTCCTCAATCATAGAATACGATTCTGATAAGCTCACCCGAGAATATAAATATCATGCTCTTCTTTCCCTCCTCCTCCCAAAGACCGTGCAACTTTGCCCCGTGACGGGCCAAGACGGTCCAACGACCATTGAAACGACTTCTGCACGGTCAGACGACTCCCAAAATTCTATTCGTGGGCTCTGGGCTACAGGATGTCCATAACGGAACAGTAACGGCCATGCGTCTCAGGTACCACAGACAGTCCTGGGATCAAATCCAATGCTGCATTTCAAAAACGCTGCTGCCAAAAACCAACTGCCAGTCCGACGAAGGGCACTGGCCGTGAATGGGACCCCTTGTCACACACCTTTTGACGATCCGTTCCACCGCTGATATCCTCAACATGTAATCAATTTGACCTTTGTTCGCCATCTGCAATGGAGGCAGAAGGTCTGCTGAAGCATACACACGTGTCGTCGAGTCCTTGAGGTAGTCCCACCAGCCCCCTTGGCGTGGGTGAAACATCTCCCCCATTCGTTGTGGGCAAGATCGGTCACTCCGCCAAAGAGGACCAAGCCTGCGGAGTGGCCAATTTGGCGGGTCGGTGACGCAGCAGCTGGTGATGCCTCAGGCGTCCCGCTGCAGTCGGAGTGGTAGGGGCTCCCCGCTCATGCGAGCCCATCTCAAGCAGCGCAGGCGTCATTGCCGTCGCTCGGACGCCCCTTCCCCGTGCATTCTTCGATCTCTTACGTGTCTTCCTTCGCAAGATGACCCAAGATTCTCCTCGATGGTCCCCGCTGGAGAACAAACGCACACGTCTGAGCGATGCCAAGGCGTCTGCGGCGGGGCCAATGCTGGGGGAGGGCCCGAGGGGACCCCGCAGTGGCAAGCAGGACCGGGTCACGCGGGGGGCTCATCAGAAAGATATCGGCGGCGGCAAACTCCTGACTCCGATTGGAGATTCTGGACACGACCTCCTCCTCCTCCTCATCGTCCTCCTCCTCCTCCTCCTCCCGCGTGCGCCCCCCTGACTTCGGCGGGGCCCATCGCTCCTGTCCGCGTCTGCGGGGGGGACTTCGATTGAGATTCTGGACACGATGGACAAGTCAGGTTCGTGGCGTGCCGACTTCGGACCGTCCAGCCTTGAGCGATAGGCCGTTTCCAAAAGACGTCAAAAGCGTTCCACAGCGAACGATTCTGGGTCGCCCGCGGCGTTTTCTGCGTTGAACGCCGCCGGTAGGGTCGCCGCCGGCCGACACGACACGAGCCTGCCGTGCGGCGGGGCCGCTCGCTCCTGTCCGCGTCTGCGGGGGGGCTACGCTCGGGCTGCCGAAGAAGAAAGAACCGAAGCATGAAGAAGTGAAGCCCACCTGGGGCTCCTCGGGAACGAGGGAACGAAGGGCCACTTCTGTGCTCTCGAGAGGGCCACTCGCTCGGCTGAAGCGTCCCCCGACGCGGCGGTGGCGTCACCATCGGCTGCGCCAGGGACGAGGACGCTGGTCGCACAGGGCATATCGGAGGAGCACAGGCACCAGGGGGCGCCCGGGTGCACGGGGAGAGCAGGAGGACCAGCCACGGGAGGGCCCGAGGAACAGCGAGCCCCTCCCCCGAGCCCAAAGCGGTCGCTGCTGGAGAGGCCTTAGGGCCAGTGCCGCCGACCCTGAACGACGACGACGACGACGACGACGACGACGACGACGACGACGACGACGACGAGCGCTCTCGGGGGCCTCTTGGGGGTAGTTTAAGGCCTCTTGTGAGGCTCTTGAGGGCCTCTTGGGAGGCTCTTGGGGGCCTCTGTCCGGGGACTTCCTGGGGGTCTCTTGGGGGCCTCTTGGGACTCCTCGGGGGCTTCCTGGAAGCATCTGGGGGCCTCCCGAGCCCAAAGCGGTCCTTACTTTGGCGTCTTGACTGTATGGGCGCTGCATCCCTTCGCCCACTTCAAGAAAAACGACTTGCCCCTCGCCGTCCCCCCCCATGCCCAGGGGTCTGCGACACCTCCCGTCGGGGGTCGTCGGAGTGTTGGTGTGATGGTCCACGATGGCACCAAAAATGTCCTCGGATTGGCAAATCGTGCCTCTAAGATACGCCACGAAACAAATATACACAGACACCCTCCGACGAACTATGCATATACTTTCAGGAAGGGTGGCAATGTACAAAGTCGCTGGCTCTCAGTGGTGATTTATACACCGCCACCCTCCCCTGTGGTCAAGGAACAACCCATTGGAGGGCGTCTGCGTGTAATTTGTTGTGGCGGATACGACGGCACAATCTGGCTTCCAGCATTGCCCCTGGAGGACCACCTAAGCGAGCATCAGGGTGTCTCCGAGATAGCCCCAGAGCCTCTCAAGTATACACGAAGGCAACATCATCGGAAACACGTGGAGGGTGCTTCGTGGCTTCGTGGTGTTGGCCTGGTCGCTTTTCCGCCCCCGATGGGCCGCGGAAGCCCCAATATGGCCCCGAGATCTCCAAGATGGCAATGCATGGGGCCCTGGCCAAGAGGGCCCCCAAATCCCCCAAGAGTAACCCAAGGCAGCCTCAAGCGAGCTCCAAGAAGCAAGTCCTTCAGTTACAAAGAGGCAGCGAGCAACGCTGATAGCCTTCATCATAGCCTGAAGACCCAAAAGGTCTCATGCCCAACAATGTATAAACCCAAGGGCCGCAATCTGTCGCCAATGAACTCCAAGTGCCTCCCCAACGGGTGCCATGTTCGTCATTTCGGGAATCCACATGCGAGGCTATGATGGGCTCCAGAAATGCTGATCACAACTCAGCTGCATAAGCTAACCAAGCTCCGTTCAGCTCAGCTAGGCTGGGTGATCAAAGCTGGGCCAAGCTCAGACATGCTACGCTTGGCCAAACGACTCAGAACTATGCACACCACACTAAGCTATGCAAATACTAGACGCTGATGTAAGCGATGTAAGCGAGGGATGGCAATCCCCAGGCTACGCTCAAGCAATCCCAAACAGCGCTACAGGAGTACAAGGCCAGGCTGCAATAATATCAAATCAGATCCGTCGCACTACATCAACAGCCTGCGTGGACTGATCCCTCCTCTGATCTGACTGCGTCCCCACTCTTCGTATCACTAACGCCTATCCGCTTGATCTTTCACGGTAATTCGCGTAGGACGAGCTTCTGGGAGGGTTGCTGATGACATGCAGAGCGACAAACAGTTCCCCCCCCCCCGAGATGATCCAAAATGTTTTTGGAATGCACTCCGACATCCCATCGGGCCCGCACTCCATCGCGCGCAAACCAAAAGAACTGCTGCAGAACTGCAACCTGAGAACGTACGTACGCCACGAGATAAATTCGCAAACATGTGGAACTGCATCCCAGATCACGGCGCCGGATAATTATAGCATGTCCGACGGCACAGTCGGATGAACGAATTCCGACAACCTGAAGATTAGGCTTGCGCTCTTGGACCCTAAGCTGCTGCCCTGCACGCTTGAGCTGGCCGAGCGCGGTTCCTGCTCGAATTGAGCACCGATTGGTACCGCGACGGCGCGACCGCGGCAGCAGAGGCGAGCTAACTCTCTCCCCCGCCCTGGCCCACTCTGCTTCCGGGCCCTCCCCGCCAGAGAGACAGCAGTGGGCTTGCTGGACTCGAGGAACAGAAAATGACATAAGCACAAACTTTCGGAGGCGCTGAAGCCCCCTGGCGGCGCCTCCGGCGCCGCCCTGGCGCGGCTGGACTCGAGGAACAGAAAATGACATAAGCACAAACTTTCGGAGGCGCTGGAGCCCCCTGGCGGCGCCAGTGGCGCGCTCCGCGCGCCAAGGAGGGGGGTCCAGCGCCAATCCAAGAAATCCGCGCGGACCTTCGAGAATCTATATCTATATATATATATATATATATATATATATATATATATATGTGCGTGTGTGTGTGTGTGTCATTGTTTGTTCCTCGATTACCGTAAGACATGAAAGAAACTTCAGGTGCTCGCTCTCAGGACTTCTTATCTGGAGCCGGTCGCTTCACTCATACGTCGATACTGCGTCGAACGTTCTCCCACTTGACTCGAGTCGAGCTAGAGCCGAACTGGAGTCCAACAGATCCGCGAAGTTGGCCCCAGCAAGGTCCCAAAAACGAACATCTGCGACGGCTTGCTTGCAACCAGATGGCAGCAATGAGCCCAAGGCAGTAGGGGTGTTTTTTTTGCGGCGGCATGCTTGCAACGGGATGGCGGCAGTGAGGAGCTCACTGAAGGCAAGCAGCTCACTGAAGGCAAACAAAAAAAACGAGGGCAAAAGGTCTTGCCTTCTGCAGGCGAGAAGTGCTGTCGTCGAAAGGTCTTGCCCTCAGCGGTGTCAGCCCAACGGCCAACGGCCCTGCAGCCGCACACGCAGCCGCCTCTGGGAGCCCCGATGACGCCAGCGCGGACCTCTCTCTGTCAGGGGGGCCAACCGCTGCCTCCGCCGGCCCCTGCCAGGCTTCCGCAGAGTGCGAGGGACCAACCCCACCGACTCTCCTCTCGTGGGGCCTGACTGGTGTCACGGCAGCATCTGGCGCCCCTCGCTTCTGCAGCCCGTGCGGGCTGAAGCACATCACTGTAATTGCAGTGGAGGTCAGTCCACAAGAAACCTTTCCCAAGAAACCCAACCCTGAGACCCCAGGACGTCCATTGATTTTTGGTGTGGGAACGTCACGGCTTCCATGGCAAAACCATCGAAACCCAAGAAACCCTGGGCACCCTGGAGGCAAGCAGGGTGTTTCTTGGCATGGGTCTCCACTGTACATCTTGCTCCTCTGACCACAGGCGATGCTGCTTTCCTTTGGGGGGAACTCCCGACGCCCGCGGCGAGTCTTTTGCTGCCGCCCTCCCCGCGGTCTGCCGGCGGCAGGCCTCGGCACCGATCTGCTCGTCCGTCTTCTCCCACGGCAGCAGCCGCCTCTGCGCCAGTGTGACTGCGGCTCCTCCAGAGACGAAGAAAGAGACGGAGAGGGAGAGAGAGAGAGAGAGAGACAGAGAGAAATAACGAAAGAAAGAGAGGGATAGAGGAAGAGAGGGAGAGAGATAGAGAGAGAGAGACAGACAGACAGACAGACAGACGGACGGACAGACAGACAGGCACAGAGGCATAGAGAGAGAGACAGAGACAGAGACAGAAAGAGAGAGAGAGAGAGAGACAGAGAGAGAGAGGGAAAGAGATATAGAGATATCGGAGGTTGGGGGGTGAGTCCGACGTGAAACGGAGACCCCCCCTACTGGGAAATCGATTCCAGTTTCGGGTTCGTGTCGTGCGTGCCGTGCGCGCGTGCGTGCGAGGCGAAGCTGCGTGGGCGGGCGAGAGGAAATCCTCCTGTGGCTGGGCCGCGGCCGGACCAAAATGTTTCTCCTCCGGCGGCCCGTGGCCCGCGGTGTCCCGCTGGTGTCCCGAAATCCTCCTGTGGCTGGGCCGCGGCCGGACCAAATGTTTCTCCTCCGGCGGCCGGTGGCCAGCGGTGTCCCGCCAGTGTCCCGCTGGTGTCCCGAAATCCTCCTGTGGCTGGGCCGCGGCCGGACCAAATGACTCTCCTCCGGCGGCCAGTGGCGCGCGGTGTGCCGCCGGTGTCCCGCTGGTGTCCCGAAATCCTCCTATCACAATCACAATCACACTGCTCACACTACTCACTGGACTGCGCACTACGCACTACAGGCATCGTCAGAACAACAGTCACCACTGTTGCCCTTTGCTGCGCCCCCCAACCTCCTAATCACCCGCAGGGTGGTGATACAGGTATATACATATATAGAGAGATAGAGGGAAAAGAAAATGAGAGAGAGAGAGAGAAAGAAAGAAATAAAGAGAGAGAGTGAGAGAGAGAGAAAGAGAAAGAAAGAGAGAGACTTGCAATCCAGTGGCCCCTTTTTTGTTCCCCCGGCTGACCCTCTCCCTCCAGGGGCAGTGGCGCGGGGAGGAGGAGGGAGGGGGGAGGAGGCACAGAGGACGCTGCGCGAGAAGGAAGCAGAGGAGGCGGCGCAGCCGTTGGACGTCCCGAGCGCTTCTTCGCCTCCGCGGCCTGCCCGAGAAGCATCGGCGCGAGCTCGGGTGGGGAAGTGAGAAGCAGGGCTGAACCTGACGGTGTGTGTGTCTGTGTTCGTATTGTTCGTTCTTGCTCGTGTTGCCTTCGCTTCGCCTCGAATGCAAAACAACATGCAAAACAAAACGGCCCACGAGATGGCCCAAACACCGTTTAGGTCCAGCCCTGGTGAGAAGGGGCGGGCATTCTCGAAGGCTCGGAATTGCCCCGGCCTCCCGAGAACTGTTCTACAGTGGGAGCTCGAACACAAGAAGCCTTCCACAAGAAACCCAACCCTGAGACCCCAGGACGTCCATCGACTTGTGATGCAGGAACGTCACGGTTCCCATGGCAAAACCATCAAAACCCGAGAAACCCAGGGCACTCTGGAAGCAAGCAAGGTGCGTCTTGGCATGAGTTTCCACTGTAAGTCTTCCCCGAAGATACGGAACACTTCTCGGAAGGCGCGAAGGCTTCTGAAAAGCACCGCCGCAAGCTGAGAAGGCCTTCTCCTGCTCGCTTCCCCCCCTCGATCGCCGCCGAAAGAAGAGGCTCGACCCCCCTGATGAGGCTCTCCGCGTGGCAACGACTGGCCCTGTGAAGAGGGAGCAGAGCGTGACCGAGCGCCCGCTGAAGGCACACGATCGCACCTCCACCAACCGAGCGGAAAACAAAAGACGTTGACGATGGAGACGACGGCGGCAGCGGCGGCGGGACGACGACGACGACGACGACGACGACGACGACGACGACGACGACCACGACGCCGACGGCGACGGCGACGGCGACGGCGACGACGACGACGACAGCACTCGGGGGTCCTTGGGCCTGGGCGTGCGAGTCGCCGCGGATCTTGGAGCCCCTGGCGGACGCGAGGTCCGACAGCGACCCGAGCACGTCGTACAGGTCCTCTATCGGGCGCCCCCCTCTGCTTCCTCCCCCCCCCGCTTCCCCCCCCCTCCACGTCTTCCCCCCGATTCCTTCTCCCTCCCCCTCCCCATCCACCTCCCCGTCCTGCCACTCCGCCAGCCTACTCCTCCTCCTCCTCCTCCTCCTCCTCCCCCTCCTCCTCCTCCTCCTCCTCCTCCTCCTCCTCCTCCTCGATCCCGCTCCTCATCTTCGTCTCGTCCTTTCCCTCCCCCTCATCTTCATCCTCATCCCTCCCGCCCCCCTTTCCCCCGTCACCCATCCCCCATTCTCCTCCTGCGCATGCTGCTGATGATGCTCCTCGTCGTCGTCGTCCTCCTCCTCCTCTTCCTCCTTTCCCCTCGTGTCCTTCAGCCCCTCTCTCTCTCCCTCTCTCATGAGTTGCTCCCCATCGCGGCACCATCAGACCTAGACGTGTCAGTGCATGAGGGGGGTCTCTAGACATCAGAATCACACCGCGGGGCGGGGGGACAAACTGATTAACATGTGGCGGCGTTCGAGCTTCTCTGGGATCGGCGAACAGCCGCGCGCCGACACTTCTGCCTACCCCATCCGACCGACGAACCACGAACCGCCTCAAATCAAGCAAACCACCTCTACCCACGAAGACCATACCAAGCGCCGCATGTGAACCACTTACTTCAGGTTGAACTCCGCCACAGTGCCTTCAGCACGAAGTGGAGTACCCCAAGGCTCATGCAAATGTACGAGTCTGGCGGGTTGTAATATCCTGAAGGTCCAGACCACGTTTTTCTGTAAACTTCCAGGCGCTCTTGGATGCTATTCGGTGCTCTTGGGGTGTGTCGCGTCGGCCTCCGGGAAGGTGAAACCACCCAGAACGACTCGACAAACATGCAAGAGTCTCGCGATAAGCGTCAGCGGAGTGGAGTTACACGCGGACCCATTTGGGACCTCGCTGCTCCCTGGGTCGCTGCGAACTGCGCAACTGTTGCCACTTTTTCTCCTGGGAGGTCCCGCGGAGTCGGGGGCTACGCAGACCCAATGGGGACCTCGCTGATCCCTGGGTCGCTGCGAACTGTGCAACTATCACCACTTTCGTGGGCTCCTCGGAGGTTCAGCGGAGTCGGGGGCCACGCAAACCCATTGGGGACCTGGCTGTTCCCTGGGAGGCTGCGAACTGCGCAACTGTCGCCACTTTCGCGGGCTCCTGGGAGGTCCCGCGGAGTCGGGGGCCACGCAGATCCAGTGGGGACCTCGCTGCTCCCAGGGGGGCTGCGAATTGCGCAACTATCGCCACTTTCATGGGCTCCTGGGAGGTCAAGCGGGGTCGGGGGCAACGCGGATCCAGTGGGGACCTCTCTGCTCCCTGGATGGCTGCGAATTGTGCAACTGCTTCTAAAGGAGGTCCATCGAGTGGGGGGTCACGCGGATCCAGCCGAGACCTCGCTGCTCCTTGAGTGGCGGCGAACTGCGCAGTTGTCGCCACTTTCGGGATCCTGGGAGGCACGGCGGAAATGAGGGCAGCGAATATGTCGATGTGCCCTGTTGCATGGAACAAGCATACGAATGTTCGCCTCGCGTGGAGAAGGGGTTGGGTACGTCTCTGGTAACTCTTGCATCACCGTTCACTGTTTCGAATGAGTGTGGCCTCTCTGGCCTTCTCAAGCAAGGGTCATCTCGGGGCCCGTTGGGCAGTCTTGGTGCCCTTTGGGGCCGTCTTGGGGGGGGGGGGGGCATGGCCGTCTTGGGCCCCTCTTGGGGGCCTCTTGGGGCTATATCGGAGGCCTCTTGATGCCCTTTAGGGCAGTCTTGGGGACCTCTTGGGGCCCTCGTGGGCAATATTGCAGCCCTCCTGGGCCGTCTTGAAGCTCTTTTGGGCAGTCTTGGAGCCCTCTTAGGGGGGCTCTTAGGCAGTCTTAGGGCGATTTTTGGCGCCTGTTGGGTCGTCTTGGGCCGTCGGAAGCGTGAAAAGGCGAGAACCCTGAACATCTACAAAAACATATGGTACCTGGCCGCCTGAAGCCACCTGGGGGGTCCTCTTGAGGGCCTCTTGGGCTGTCTTGGGGCCAGATTGGACCATCTTGAGGCCATCTTAGGCCAACTCGGAAGGCTCTTGGGCGGTCTGGGGCTCTCTTGGAGCGCTCTTCGATCGTCTCGAAACCTTATTGAACCTCTCTTGGGCCGTCTTGGGAATATATTGGGCCGTCTTGGGCGCCCCTCGGGCCGTCTTGAGGGCTTCTTCAGAGGGGGGGAGCGTGTTACTGCCGGTTTGTCCGCCCTTCGCCCTTCCCATGGAACCCCTCCCTCGAGGTCTTCGGTCCACCGAGCACGTCATCATTCCTGCCTCATTTTTTTGTTCCGTCATCTTGAGGCCAACTTAGACCATCTTGGAACGCTCTCTGGGGCTCTCCTGGAGCGCTCTTCGGCCGTCTCGGAGCCGTATTGGGCCTCTCTTGGTCCGCCTTGGGAGTATGCTGGGGCGTCTTGGGCGCCTCTTGTTCCCCCGCAGGGCGTGTTAGACCAATGTGCTTCCCCTTGGCCGCCCCCTGGCCCCCCCCTTTAGGCCTTCGCCCCACCAGAACGTCATCACTCGGACACACCTCGCTCGTTCCGTCGTGCCAGGTGCTGCCATGGTAGGGTTTCTGCATTCCAGTAGGGGCTCTCCCCCCCTTGCCGGCGGGTATCCGCATGCATCCCCCCCCCCTCCACCCCCCTCCCGAGGCCACGATCCCTCGAACAAAACGGTGTGTCCGCGTCTCGAATTTCCAAAACGGCCCAGGTAGGTAGCCCAGGCAACCAAGATGGCCAAAGATGCCTCGACGACGGCCCAAGATGCCCCCGAGGCGGCCCAATATGGGCCCAAGACAGCCCGAGATGCCTCCAAGACAGGCTAAAGGGGCCACAAGAATACCCAAACGAGGTTCGAATGTACTTCCCAAGGTTCTGGCGGATGCTCACTTTCTCACGCTTTGCTGGCCCCACTGGCACTCGGCTTGATGCACATACGGAACCTGCACAGGCAGCTTGCTGAATACACAAGCGGAGGGCTGACGCACCTAGTCACGGAACGACATACGGCCACGTCCAGACAAGCCACGTCATGTGTCCAATTAAGTTTCCTGAAGCGAGCTCGATGAGCAACGGCGACGTACTGGGTGGCAACCATGTCACGTCGGTCGACGGCGCACCGAGTATGGGAGCACATGTGACCTAGTCAAGCGAAGAATATGGCTGGATGTAGCTTGGGCGCAAAGTATCCGCCATTAGTTCACGTGATACCAGGCCCTAGAACGCATGGATAAAAAGCTGTGTCAATATTATGCTAAAAGCTCCGTACTTAAGATACCTACCCCACATGTGCTACGTACCGCACGAACGTTGGATAACGATGCGCTGCAATAACAATTAGACGAGCCCATCGACGATGAAGCAAACTATGACGCGCTCAATGTACACGGACTGCCGCATTGATCAACTGCGAGCAGTGAGCAGTGAGGCACAAGCAATGAACAGCTATGAGGCTGTGGGGCAACAGCGAGGCAACTATCACAAGTGACATTGGAATGCCGCCGACACCTTGGAGATACATCCACCACCGCACTCTGCGCCGGTGATCGTGAGTATAGCCCACGTCCGCCTTGTCGCAGCACATCCTTTCTAGCAGAATAGCCTGGGCCCGCAATGCACATAGTGCAACAGGCAGTCGTCCTTCAGCCAGCTTTCGAAAGAAAACGTCACCAACCTGCTCGACCGCCAGCCCCGCGGACGACCAGAATCCCCACGCGGCCGAGTCCTGCTGCATCACGTTGCGGAATTTCGGGTTCTTCCTCAGGGAGGCCTTGCGGCGCACCTCAGGCTGATGAGGCAGATGTTGGTTCGCGAGTTGCGATTGTGTAGAGGAGGGAGGACGCAGAGGAAGAACATCAATACAAATGCGTTTTTGGAGCACAATTACCCCGAGTTCCCGACGGTGTCCAAGGAGCTTCTGAAAAGAGAGGTTCCGAGCACGCGCTGGCACACAGTGGGAAACGGAAACAAATCCGCCGACCCTGTCGGCGAGTATGAGGAGCGTGTCCGTTCGAGTCGTCGTCGCCTCTGTCGTCCCCTGTCACTGCGGCCCCCATTTCCCTGGGCCAGTCGCCGCTCCCCCCCCCTTCCTGGGCCCTCCTCCTCAAGCGCGCCAGCCACAGCGACATTGATCAACGTCGCAAGTCAGTCGAAAGGAAGCCCCGTCCCTTTGATCCCTCCCCGGTCGGGCCAGGGGGGTCCTCAGGGGGTCCTGGGGGGGGTTCGCCACCCAAGGACCCCTCAGGAGGCCCTTGGGGGGGTCCTCAGGGGATCCCTCCTCGGTCGGGCCAGGGGACTCCCCCCCGGGGTGCCCCGGGTCCCACAACAGCCCGAGGACCGGCCAAGGGTGCCCGAAGAGGCCCCTAAGACGGTCCACGAGAGCCCCGAATCGCCGAACGATCTGTCCAAGCCGCCTTGAAGGCCTCCAGACGGCCCCTGAGGCCTGCAAGACGCCCCCAAAGACCTCCAGGAGCACTCCCAAGAAGGCCCCAAGAGGCAAACTTCATAAATTTCCTTTTGGTTTTTGAAAGATTTGGGCATTCTCGCCTCTTCCGCTCCCCGACGCTCCACGACGGCCGAAGAGGCCCCCAAGATCGCCCCAAGACGGCCCAAAATCATCAATGAGGTTCCCAACATGGCCCAAGAGGGCCCAAAGATGGCCCGAGACGCCTCCAAGACAGGCCAAGAGGCACCCAAGACGGCTCCAAGGGGGTGCCCAGACGGGGGACCCGAACGGACATCTCGAGCCCTCGCCCCTGCTGCTGGAAGGACTGCTCCCGTCCTGCTGGAAGGGAAGCATTTGTTCTGATTCAGAGCACGAGCAGCAGCCCTCGCCCTTGCCCTAGCCCTCGCTCCCGCACGAGAAGCTCTCGGAAGGCCCCAAAAGGCCTGCAAGACGCCCGCAAGAAGCCCCAGGAAGCCCCTCGAGGCCCCCGAGAGGCTCCCAAGAGGCCCCCCAACAGTATCCCGAAACGCCCCCAAACTGCCCACCAGAGGCCCCCGGAAGCGCTCCGAAGAGACCCCGAGAAGCATCCCCTCCTCCCTTGCTCCTCAACCTCCTCCTCCTCCTCATGTTCCTCCGCGCCTTCGTCGTACTCCACCTGCTCATTGCCCTCCTCGACCTCCTCCTGCGCCAACTCCCCCTCCTCATCCTCCTCCGCATGCTCTTCGTCCTCATCACCCTCCTGCTACACCGCGTCATCCTCCTCCTACTCCTCTTTCTCCTCCTGCTCCTCCTGCTCTTCCTCCTCCAGCTCCTCCTCCTTCTCCTCCTCCTCCTCCGCCTCCTCCTCCTCCTCCTGCCGCCTGCCCCTCCTCCTCCCCCTCCCCCGCGTCAGCCTTCTTCTCC